ATTTAAAGACAAAGTTAAAGTTTGAAAAGTTTCAATTTTGTTTCATGGAGGTCATAACAATTTAAATATTTTTTGGAAATTGTCGGTTTTGTATGCAAAATTTGAGATTTGTTTTAAATTCTGCTTGCCTGTTTTTTTTTAAATTTATTTTAAAGCTCATGTAATTGGTCGGCGAGGAACACTTTTGCATGGAATTTCTTAAGCTCATTAGACAACCTGTATTTTGAAAGATGAATACTGAATGATCATAAGATTGGACATATGAAAAAGCCTGTTATTCTTAGCGTTATCAATTAGTTTGCTCATGGATGACAGTTGATGTTGTGTATTACACTGTAGCTTACTTTTTTGAGGGTGAATAAGTTATTGTTGTTATTTTGGACTTGTTACAAGTCAGATAATTCCCGATGGTAATGAACAGAAAAAACAGAATCACAGAAACTACAATGTCAGGCTTTATTGTATGATAGTTAAATGTTAGAAGTAGTGAAAAAAAGCATAAAATATTGTAAATACAGATTTCTCAATCAATGTTTTACGCTGTATAATTTTTTATGCATGTTGGCGATAAGGCCAAAAAACAAATCAATTGGTTGTCTTCGACCGCCCGCTCGTCATTTTCGGGCCGCTCGTATTGGGGGACCAATGATCACCGATTAGGCATTGTTTGCTATATAGAGGGCGCAAATAGCTATAAGTAGTACAGTGGTGTTTAAAGGTGCTGTATTTCAAAGCCAAAAATACTTTCTGTGTTGGTCTTGATATTCATTGTACATTAAAATAGTCTTTTTACCATATTAAAATGTTTTATTCACTTCGTTTGTTTAAATGTTTGACATCCCAATGATATATATTTATTTTTATGGAGAAATATTTATTTAAAAAAATTAATAACAAAAATGGGGGAACAAAATCCGACCGCCCGCCCCTACTCCAGAAAAGCAATCGAGGACAACCAAATGCTTTGTTGTTGTTGGCCTACCTGCGTGAATCGTAATAAACACGCTCTGTGCATCTACTGTAGGTCACAAGAGTGAGCCCATTTTCATTGGTTGCCCTTTGCCTATTCACATTTTCTAAACTACATCCATTTTGGGGGGAAATTGTCTTTACTCCGTTATTTTGTCTTTACCATTAGTGTGTGTTAACTTAATAATAAGAGCGTTTCGTTTTGGGGGGATTTAAGCTTTTTGATGTCCTTAATATTCATGAGAAATTGAAATTTGTGTGTCATCAGATAGTGATTGGCATGAATTTCCTGACACTGCTATTAAAACTGAATATTTCACGTAGCTGTGATGTATGAGAAATGGTTCTTATTCATCATTTTGTGATGATGATTGCTGAATTTATTTTTTTATGTTTTGTTCATTTTCAGATATCCTATCGAACTGATATTAGAGAGTGGGGAATCCCTCTTTGTGGGCGAGGGAGTGGCCTTCGACTACGAGGTGGTGCTCCCTCTCAGAGTAACATACAGGGCGACGGCCAGCGGCATCGTCCAATCGATAGCAGTGATGCCGGTCGTCGCCGAGGAGGCAGAGGTGTAATACCTGATAATTTGTTGTCTTTATATCGTTTTTTTTTTAGAAATGTGATTTTTTTTTGAACGTCCGCCAAATGACTTTTCGGTACCCTCTCTTCAAATTGTTTTTAAGCACTCATGCGTAAAATATACATCATATGAGTTGTATCAATGAAAGAAGAGGATAATTATAAACTTTACAAAATGTATGTATCATTTATTAATTATAATTGTGATTAAGTTATGATAAAACATTGATAATTCTCGGTTTAGTTTTTTCTGGGACGCACTGTATAAAATGACTCACACTACTTAGTTTCCTTTCTTCAGATCTTTATTCAATGTTCAATCCAACTAGCTAGTGTCGTAACAATGACAACTTTGGATTTGTAGCGTAGTCTTGTAGCGGTTCACTAAGAGAAAAGATATAACATGCTCTAGTTAGAACAAAGACTATTTGTATGTTTAAAGCAATGAACAACAATATATATGTCATCTATTGTAATCTGCTTGGAGCATGCATGTCTGTAATAAACTCAAATGGATGCATTAACCTGTTTATATCAGAGTAATTAATTCTGTTTCTTCTACTAGCATAACTTGAATCATGTATACCTACTATTCTGAAACTGAACCTTTTGAATCACATACATCAAGGCTATTACATCCTGGTTGTTTATTAATGAATTTTTTCCACAAACAACATCATAAACGCTCTTAAATGATAACGTGTAAATTACAAAGGACCTGGGGCCCCTTTCCAGCACTACAATACATTAATGTAGTAAACAAATTAAACTAATCCATTACTATATACCCATACTGGTACATGCAAAACGTATCACAGCTTTTCTGTAATCATTTATACTGTAACCCAACTGGTAAATATGAACTAAACTAAATGATTACCCAACTGTGCATATTGCACCTTTCTCCAATGAAACATGAATTCAACACAACAACACGGTCCCTTATCCGACCTAAATTACATGAATTAACATATTGACTGCCATATACCCTTGGCATTTCTATCTTATCACACGTACAATGTATATATTATAAACCATATAAATGCTTCTTGTAGCATACTAAATCATTAACCATAACTGTCTGATCATATACACTCTGTTCACTCCTTGGTACAACCAACCCTGTTCATGCAATGCCCCTTAGCAACACATAGCAACACATAGCCTTCTGTACATAACGTTGCGTTAATCATCCCAAATCAACTCACTATTTGCACATAATTCACAGGAAATAAACAATCGTATGAAACAACTAGTTTCCTATATTTGACAGTAAATCAGTTATCTACAGGAATCATGTATCATAGCTTACCAACTATTTGTTCATCCGGAGACCGGAGCCAAGTCATGAATTCTGTGGTAACAAACATCAAGTCTGATGCCTTTGACTAGGCTTTCTGTTGCACAAATTTTCTTAACGCCACCGATGGCGCTATACAAGTTTCGCGCCGCTACATTAACTTTTGGAGAGGACATTATTTTTGACATAATTATGAATGGTTTATCCTCGTAATCCATCTTTTCCTTATAAACACAACAATATTATGTGTGCAACTTATGTATAATCTTAGACACAAGTGTTAATTATGTCTCGATCATGAACATAAGTTTTGGGCATGCCTCTCTTACAAGGGTGTCGATTCGTATCCGTGGTTGGGGGGGGGGGGGGGGTGATAGGTGCCAAAATATTTTCGGCAATGGATCAAAGCAACCAAGAGGTAGAAGCGTATGGCAGGTTGCACCCCCTCCCCAAGCGTGTAGCCAGTAGTTTATTAAATAAAGAAGACGATTCGATGTACCATTCTCGACTCTTAATCCTTGTATGAATCAAGTTCCCCTTCCTCCGCGCGTAGCGATGAAGCTCTGACGTTTCATTAAATTAAAAAAGAAAGAAGGCGATTTCATGTACTATTCTCGACTCTTAATCCTTAATGTCTGAATCAAGTTCCCCTTCCTCCGCTGTAGCGCGGAAGCGCTGACGTTTCAGTAGATTATTAAAGAAAGAAGACGATTCGATGTACCATTCTCGACTCTTAATCCTTGTTTGAATCAAGTTCCCCTTCCTCCGCGCGTAGCGCGGAAGCTCTAACGTTTCATTAGATTATAAAAGAAAGAATGCGATTACATGTACTATTCTCAACTCTTAATCCTTGTTTGAATCAAGTTCCCCTTCCTCCGCGCATAGCGCGGAAGCTCTAACGTTTCATTAGATTATAAAAGAAAGAATGCGATTACATGTACTATATTCTCGACTCTTAATCCTTAATGTTTGAATCAAGTTCCCTTTCCTGAATACATAATAGAGGGCGAGAACGAAAACCAAAGGCGAAAAAGGGAGAGGATGAGAGAGTAGGGCAGAGACAGAGGGAGAAAAAGCACTGAGAAGGGAGAAGTAAAGGAAGAGAGGGAGAGGGTGAAACAGATGCAAAGCGGTGCTGGAGCAGAACGAGAGGGGAAGGGAAACAAAGCAAGATAGACGAGAGAGAGACTCGAGAGAGAGAGAGAGAGAGAGGGAGGGAGGAACAACAAAGAATATTCAGTCTGGGAGAAAGAAAAAAATCTGCTTATAATACTGATCACCCGTACACACTAAAACAACATCTCATAAATTTACGATATGAATAATTAATCCAGGACGACCTGCTTAGACCCCGGGCAAATTTTTAGACCTGGTACTAAGAGCACTGATATGACAAGGCTTCATTTAAACAAGGTAATTCATGTGATCCCAAATTACAAGTTTCCTTTTTTACTTTTTTTTTCTCGGTTATCTTGATATAACATGGTTTCATAAAATCAATTCCTCTGTTCCCGATCGAGGAACATGCTCAATTTAACAAGAGGATGGCGATGATAACGTTAATATTGATGATGACGATGATATTGATGATAATCATGATGATGCATCATGTCATATACAAGTTTATCTATTTTTAACTTTTTTCCTATCAACTCTAACTGCATGTAGAGTGCCTTAGTTGCATAGCGCCCCTTCAGGTTTGTGTGTATTACATATGAGGACCCCACTGGAAATATGTTCTCGAGCTTTCGTGGGTTATCCTGTTGTTCAAAGCTGACTTAATTTTGATTTGTGATTATATCATTATTGTATATTGTTGAAAGCTTGACGAATAAACATCTATCATTCAATCATCCATATACATGTGTTAATAACGATGTCCGGCGAAATTTAAAAGTTCTGCTTTTACCAGGGTCTCCTTGTCTTTCTTTTCGTTAACTTGCCATAACATAAGTTGATTTTTGTATTGCAAATGTGTAATTATCTAATGTTATGCTCTTTGTGTCATTTGAAAGAAAGACGAAGAAATATCTTATCTTATCTTATCTTATCTAAAGCCTCGGTCACAAATGCCATTACGAATTGCTACGAACGCCGTACGAACGATTTTCAGACAATGGAACAGTTTCGGGAAGACAATTATGGAAAACTGACAGGGAGATTCGTACGAACCTGTTTGTCATAACTTCCTAGTTTTGCAGACTTTATTTTTTCTTTTTGATTCGGGCTTTTTAGAGACACCGTACCATAGACATTCATACACATATCATACGTATGTGGAGCTGAGCTGAGCTAAATTACATTTGGTAAGTTGTTCTCGAAAAATCATTTTCTTTTAGTATTTTAAAGGTAAAGACCAGTAATGGTCATGCGATTGCATTGTGAAAGAAACGTTGTGGAATCGATCAGAAAAGGTTGATCATCTAGCATCTAGCATCTGCAAGGTTCTGGAATCATCAAAATGATAAGAAATTTGGCCCATTCTTCGTAAAGTTACAAGCACTATAGTATACACAGAAAGATGTATATGGGACTACCCTATCTCTCTCACCAGACCATGAGAGAAATAAGTTTACCAAATATATGAATTAGTAGGCGGTTTTCCGGCAAATTTTTTATCATCATGTATTAGTCAAAACATATTCTTTCACATGATTGGTAATGAGAGCTTCCATTTCATTTTTTGAAATTGGGGCGTTGCCAATACTGGTCTTTACCTTTAAATTGTATGATAGTGAAGTAGTCTATATCGCATTAGTTGGAAAGAAATTCCTTCAGAAAACGTCTAGGGTAGTATACATAGCATGAACAATGTGGAAGAGTGAGAAAAAAAAAACTTAAACTTTCCCCCTCAGAACTGGAGCCGGCGCTTATCTAGACCGAAAGCTTCAGTCTCTCTAATCGTCGGTTGTTCCACTGAGACTACGTCTGGCTCCACTAGACCTCCGATTATAGAGACTGAAGTCTGGGGACCTCTTTCTGTGAGGCACTGTACGTAACGAATAGTTCGGTTCGACTGGACCGCGATGAATGAGATATGCAACGAGATTTTCACTCTTTACATCCTCATAACTGCTGCAATTACAACACAAATTAAAAATAACATATAGACTATATAGCTTATTTGACTTACGATAGCTTGCTCATTTAGATCCTAAATTAATGATTAATCCGAGAAAGTCTCGTCGTCAACATTATCCGTCTTGGTTTTAGTTGATGAATATTCATTTTTTCTTTTCGAACGTCCAATAGCTACCGTAGCTACGCTACGAGTCGGCCCAGCTTGACCAACGAACTCCCACGAAACGAGTACTCTGATTGGCCATTTGGCTATGTTTTGGTAGGTGGACCCGGAAATATGTCGGCCGCCGGGTAATATTTCGAATGCATGAACGTACTGCTTCGCGGATCTGAGATACAAATTGGATAATTCATATAAGTAAGTCCGTAAATTACGTATTTAATATTAAGTTATCAAATTTTGATAACTGTAATTAGGACAAATGACATACCGACCTAATTTACATCTGATTTAGAAATCAGAAAATTAGATCTAAATAAAGAAAATCGGGGAGAAAATGTCGTGGACGAAAATATGTACATAGCCATCCCCACGGTACGAGATCTCTGGGTTGCCATCTGTATTGGGGAATGACAACAAATGTCAGTTTTATTAAAGAAATGACCCAAATCAGATGGTTATTGCTGTCTAGCGCTTATCATGCTTATTCAGAATCATATCCCTACTTTGACCCCGTAACTCCGGCGTAGAGATTTCTTGCTCACGGGATTCACGGCAAATTGAGCACTGCACAATACAATTGCATACCGTACATACCGACGGTGGGTTGCGGGCACTCCAGCTAAGCATAGAGTCAATGCTAATGCGTATTGACCTCTAGCACTGCATGCTTGCTGTGAGGCGGGTATTATTATACCTAGAGTCTAGGGGGCCGTTTCTCGAAACCAACTCCATGACAGTCATATCTTTGTCGCCGACCTACGGAGATGTCATGAAGTGGATAAACCGTTTCACAAAGCCATGACAGACATGATATCGATATATCACGATACTAGCAGCTCAAGAAGATAGTCTTTGTCACGATCCATTTGATTTATCAAGAATAACGCAAAACAAGTTTTGGGGCTAAAATTGTTCAAAAAGAAATATATACATATAAATTCTCCTAAAATAAATAATAAATGGTGTCATTATCAAATGTAGATCATCAACCGATTTGCATATTTCTGTAAAGATTCTTAAATTGAAGAAAAACCGGCGAGTGTTTTTTTTCGACAGTCGAATCAAAAGTTAGTTGAAGGATACCGTAATGTGATAGTTTATCAATACGTACTTTTTTGTTTATTGTGACGAGGAATTTTAGGCAAAATGCCTTTTCTCAGCCAGTTTTTATTCTAGAGTCTCATAAATACTCGTTATATAATTGATTTGATATTGAAAATATAATTTGGAAGAAGTAATTAGAGAGTGAATAATAATGCACATAGGCCCACACATAGGAGCATCACTATCCTGGCTGTGTAGTAAAAGCTGTGCTCTTGAACCTCAACATTTCAAACACCACTGCACAAAACTCAACTGATTTCACTCAAAATCGGTACTTTAGTGACAATTGATGACACCTAAATAGCAGTAAAATACATTTTTTTTAACTTACTGATATTAAAAAGAATAATTTAAAAAATCAAATTGTAAGTCTAGTGTCAGCTTGCTTTGTTCTTTGCTATAAACTACAGTGTGTCATTCAATAATATCACTTACACATACATGTATGAAAGCTAAACATTAAAGGCATCGTTTAAACATGTTAAATCTGAGATGCACGGCCCTACGTGTTATCAGTGTCTGTGATATGGTGTAATATTGAAGCCCTAAAAACATTGCGCCTACTTCAAAATGATCAAGAAGTGCCTCAAAAAATTAAAAATCTTTGAGTGACCGGTTTTACCATACTCGTTTTCCCTAATAGACTGAAGTGTTATGAAAACCGTTTTTGGTTTCGATTTCCAATCATAAATATCTTGATAATCAGACAGGCTATCGGCTTGTAAAAGTCATGAGGTTCATTACTGACCTAAAGGTTTATAATTATCATGAGCTAGATCCAGGATTTTTTTTCAGAATCTGAGACAAAGTTACCCAATCCCTTAAAGGGATCTAAACATACGCGTAATGCACAGACAGGCCTACGGTATACTGACCACTACATCAACGTTATATCCACTCGCTATTTGGAAGTTAAGAAATTGATCTATAGTCTAGATTCTAGAGATCTCCTAAATCTCCATTGTCGTTGTCGATGTCCGAGGTACTTCCTTTTTTATCTCCTCAAAACTCAAGTCGAGTATATTTTTGTCCATATCGATATTTCCAGGGGATTTTGATGAAGGTAAACAACGTTGGGTATGAACAGGTACGGTACTCAAGAGTCAATGCAATACATGTTAATTGCACGTAAACAGCATCGCGCACCGTCGTAGATCATTTCAGCTGAGCGGTTCAACGCTCATTTTGTGACTTTACTGAAAAATCAGCTGAATTACAATGTTTTCGGGGTTTTGAGTGGGTTGATTTTTCGTCATGTTTAATCAACTTTTAAATTTTCCCTCGAACTTACACAAATGTAATAAGTGAAATTGTTTGATTGCAATGATACCAAATTCAGTCAAGTTTAAAATTAATGAAAGAAAAAGAAAAAAATACCAGAGTGATATTACATTAACAAGTTGTATACAAATTTGTTGATGTTGTGTTTTGTGACCTGTGTATAAGACGCATCCCTATTTATTGATACAATGTTTGCACTTTTGCTGACTCTGTAGGCAGCAAGCCAGATTGCGTCTTATTTCAGCGTTTGGAAACCCATGCAGGGAAGATCCTTCATTTTAGTTTGAAGGCGCCGATGAGTACTTGTGAACTTGTCACAAATAATTAATAGTAACAATGTCGTTTTAAAAACTAAAGATGACAGACAGATTTTCCTCCGAGTCCAAAGAGAAATTCGGACATAGTACGCTACTTTGGTTCTAGTTTCTGAGTGGTGAGTTGATATCCCGTGTGTGAGTGAGCTGGGACCATGCCGTCGCTCTTCCGGGCACGGGTGAGCATCGGCCGGCACAGTGCTATGTGAAGGGGCATAAATTGAGAAGAAAAAAAAAACTCTTCCCTTCAAATTCGGAACGTAGGTTAACTTCAAATAGTAGATCCTATTCTTTGTTCGCATTATATAATTTATGTTGAGACTCAGAGTTTTTTGTAAACCACTATAAAGTAGCATTTTGAGGATTCAAAATATCCTGTACCTGTCTATAAGACGCACCCCCGACTATCAAATTCTTCCGTGCATCTTATACACAGAGATTTACGGGGTACTCAACAATTTGTAGTTGTATTTTTTGGCATATAATAATGGCTAATTATTTTCTTTGATAATTAATTATTCGTATTCATAATACATATTGGTAAATGTTGTTATGAACTGAAATAGAGTTGATTGTATTTCTTTTTTATATTTCAGGTTTTCCGACTGTTAGTGGTGAGTTACCTTGGAGTTGGAGCTGGAACTGCAGTATTTGCTGATAGAGTATGTTGATCTACTTAACCTGTTGCTTATGGATTTTTTTTGAGGGGGGGGGGGGGTAATGGGTGGGGGGATGGACCCTGTATTAAGTGAAATTTTGCCATATCAATTCGGGGTATATTTTGGGTTTGAACACTTTTTAGAGGGGCTTTAACATTTTAGGGACAGAAAATTGATTGAGACGTTATCTCTAAATGACATTAAGTACATAGGTTTTATATACACAAAACATTTGGGATAACATTTTTCTGTAAAATGGGGTTTGAACATTGAACTTATACATGTATATATTTTTTGGGGTGCAATTTATAACGTACAAAACTACAAAATCTACATAGTAGCTGAACGACCAGGAGCGATATTCTCGTTTAACAATGTTAAATCTGAGATGCACGGCCCTCTGTGTTATCAGTGTCTGTGACATTGTGCAATATTGAAGCCCTAAAAAAATTGCGCTTCAAAATATCAAGAAGTGCCTCAAAAAAGTAAAAATCTTTGAGTTACCGGTTTTACCATACTCGTTTTCCCCCAAAAATATCCTATACCTGACTATAAGACGCACCGACGACTTTCAAATTCTTCCGTGCATCTTATACACAGAGATTTACGGGGTACTCAATAATTTGTAGTTGTATTTTTTACCATATAATAATGGCTAATTATTTTCTTTGATAATTAATTATTCGTATTCACAATACTTGGTAAATGTTGTTATGAACTGAAATAGAGTTGATTGTATTTCTTTTTTATATTTCAGGTTTTCAGACTGTTGGAGTTGGAGCTGGAGCTGCAGTATTTGCTGATAGAGTATGTTGATCTACTTAACCTGTTGCTTATGGATTTTTTTTTGAGGGGGGGGGGGGAATGGGTAGGGGGATGGTCCCTGTATTAAGTGAAATTTTGCCATATCAATTTGGGTATATTTTGGGTTTGAACACTTTAGAGGGGCTTTAACATTTTAGGGACAGAAAATTGATTGAGATATTATCTCTAAATGACATTAAGTACATGGGATTTATATACACAAAAACATTTGGGATAACATTTTTCTGTAAAATGGGGTTTGAACATTGAACTTATACATGTATATATTTTTTTGGGTGCAATTTATAACACACAAAACTACAAAAGCTAAATAGTAGCTGAACGACCAGGAGCGATATTCTCGCTGAAACTGCATCCGGGTGTTTGGTGTCCCTGAATCTCCTCAAGAAGACACAACTACAACGATCTGCAAGATTGTGCAAGAGAAACTGTGCATCACTTTAAAACCGGAAGATATTGACCGATGTCACTGTGTTCGAAGACGGAAACCACCTCCCCATCCAGGATCACGGCCAAAACCAGCGGCCATCATCATGAAGCTGACATCATATCAACATCGACAGCGGCTGATCGTCTAATCTGAAAAGGAACGGAATAAGCTGCGAGGATCTGACTGATGCCAATCGTACTCTCTTACATGATGCTTTCATCGCAAGCAAGAAACAGAACAGTGAGATAGAGGCAGCATGGTCGATGGACTGAGGGATCATCGTCTCTGTGAAGACATCACACGGTAAGAGCGTGAAAAACAGGTTCATGACAAGAACGAACCTGACAACATATGACCACAAACATTGAAATTGAAGGATCACGATTTCCTTCGGTCCTGCATTTTGTATACTTTTGGTACAGTAATATATTCACTAGACATATTTGTTATGTTTTTATTTATTTGGTTAAAAATCATGAACACGTAAAGTTCAGGAACTCATATTGATTAAATTACAATAAAATGTAATACTGTAAACAAAATAGAACCAAAATATATACACTTAAGAAAAATTCTGGTTACAATACAATATTCAACGAGTAAAGCCAGGCTGGCTACATGTAACAAGACCAAAATGAGAGATGACGAGGAAATCGAGAAGGAGAGAAATGTCTAGGGAGCGAGTGGGGAGAGAGGGACAGAAAAAGGGAGCGGAGAAGGAAAGAAAGAGAGGGAAGGGGAGATACAAAGGGAGAGGGAGAGAGAGAATGAAGAGTGAAAGAGAGCAGGGAGGTGAGACATAGATAAGTGAGCACTCTGCCCCTAGGGCTTTTCCTATCACTCAGAGTGGGATTATGCGGGATTAGGGGTCCAAGGAAAAACAAAATGACACCTTACGCGACGAGGTCACCCTGGTGTCCCATGCGGGATGCTGCTCTAAACTGGCTCTCTCTAGGTGAGAACATCAACAGTCCAGTCATAAGGGATCGCGTGTTCATATAGCTAGCTCTATACATGTCGTTAGCATCATCACATGCTACATACACTCAGATGTTGTGATAGTCTAGGAATTTAGCTCTCGGGTGCAAAGAACAACAACAAGGTGAGTTAAAACATGATTATTGTTGAAATTTTCTTTATTTTGTTCCATTTATATTTATATTTTAACGTAATAGTAGTGGTAGACCCTGTCTAGCCCAGGTGGAAATCATTTTTTTAGGCAAACAAATTAGATTTTCTTCTTTATTTTGATGTATGACTCCACTGTTTGTTATCGTTCGTTATATTGCACTGCACGGAAGACTAACAGTACACTCGTGGTAGAATTCAACTGGACATTTTGGTCCATTACATGAAATGATATCGACCATAGAAGGAAGGCTACATATGCATACAGAAGATGGGCTTTCCTCTTTAGATTCTAGTATCAAACCTTCAATATGTCTGTAAGAAGATCCATATCATCTTCCAAATAATAATCATCACACGAGTATTTAAAAGCTGCCATGTTATGGGATGTAAACATATCCTACAATGCATTGCACATGCAAGCGGCTCCTGTTGATCAACTGACCTTGCGCATGCATTATGTGATCTTATTTACAACCGGTGCGACCAGGCTACATTAATGCAATTTAGTGGATTGATCAACCGACCTTGTGCATGTGTTATGTGATCTTATTTAAAGGTAAAGACCAGTATTGGAAACGCCCCAATTTAAAAAAATGAAATGGAAGCTCTTATTACCAATCATGTGAAAGAATGTTTTGAATAATACATTATGATAAAAATGTTGCCGGGAAACCGCCTACTAATTGATATATTTGGTAAATTAGTTTATCTATTGGTGTGTGAGAGATAAAAACGCATGTGTCGCGCACGTGTGCATAGTCCCATATACATCTTTCTGTGTACAGTGCTTGTAACTTCATGAAGACTGGGCCAAATTTTTTGTCATTTTGATGATTCCAGAACCTTGCAGTACATCTATGCTAGATGATCATCCTTTTCTGATCGATTTCACAACGTTTCTTTCACAATGCAATCGCATGACCATAACTGGTCTTTATCTTTAAGACCAGTGCGACCAGGCAGCATTAATTCCAATTTAGTGGATTGGTCGCTTGGGGAGTGCGGCATCGGGGATGGTTCAAAAGACCCTAATCCAGTTTTCTCTACTTTATGTCTCACCTCCCTGGGGAGAAAAAAAGAAGAGCGATGCAGATAGAAAGAGAGAGGGGGAGAGAGAGAGGGGTAGGGAGACGGAAAGAGAGAAAAAGAGAAGAGAGGGACCTTTTACATTTTATCCACGATATTAAAGTTCTTCTATACATTTTGTACATACATGTAGTTGTTTCGTTTTTACTACTTTGTATTAAGTGTAGAATTCATATTCCTTTGATCCATTTTTTTAAATTGTTTTCTTCTTCAAATGTCGTGTCATGCTTGATTTGTATGTCTCACCTCCCTGATTTTTTCAATGTCTCAATGAAAAACATGTATATGTATCGACCTTGACAGAATTTATGTCACTATCAAGACCCAAATTACTAATAACTTCACTCAGTCACATTATACACCAGATGAATTTAATACGTTTGTATCACAAAAATTACCTGATAATGATGCCAATAACAAATTATCATTTATTGATATTAATTGTAGAAGATTTCAACATAATTTTGCTGCATTGTCTGTACTTATGATGTCATTACGTATGCAAGTTTCTATTATTGGTGTTTTGGAAACATGGCTAAGGGATGAAAATTCGCAATATTCTCTGTGCAATTTCAGTCATTATGACTGGTATGTGGGAAATAATAAAAGACTTGGATGTAGAAAGAGGTGTTGGTATTTTTATTAGCAAGGACATTAATTTTAAACGCCGCACTGACTTAAATATTAATGAATCATTTTTAGAAAGTATTTATTGAAATTGAACATTTTAGTTGAAATATTTAATATGTGTTATGTATAGGCCACCAAGTCAACCAGTGGATGATTTTTTAATGTCTCGCGTTAATGTTGTAAACATGGAAAAGAAATAATTTTATTTAATTGGCGATTTTAATATTGATTTATTAAATGTTGAGAATGTTAATGATTTTTGTAACCACTTTAATGCTACATTATATGAATATTTTTACAAATGATTCTTGCCATGTTTATTCTGGAATATTATTAACTGATATTTCTGACCACTTCCCGGTATTTGTATGTGTGATACTGATATTCACAAAAGTACTGACTGACTTTTATAAACATGATGTAAATCAAAATAATATGAGAACATTTTTGCAATTGCTGTATTCAACTAAATGATATTTATCTAGTGATGTGAATAGTAGCTATAAATAGCTTTGTTTTTAAATTCATGAAACTGTATAATTTGTGTTTCCCTGTGAAATTAGTTTGTATGAAATATAAGCGTAAAAATAAACTTTGGATTACAAATGAAATTATAAAGTTGAGTAAGAAAAAATGTAGACTACATTGTATATAAGTTGTATATTAAACATCCCAATGATTATAGAAATAATGTATATAGGAAATTTGTAATAAATTGAATAATAAGATTAAGATTGAAAAATAAGAAATACAACATTCAAGGAGTGAAGCCAGGCTGGCTACATGTACTGTAGCAAGACCAAAGTGAGAGATGACGAGGAAATTGAGAAGGAGAGAAATGACAAGAGAGAGAGAGAGTGAGTGGGGATAAAGAAAGAGAGGAACAGAAAAAGGGAGCGGAGAACGAAAGAGAGGGAAGGGAATATGTGGAGGGAGAGGGAGAGAAAAAGAAAGGGAGAGAGGGAGAGATAAGGAAGAGAGAGAGGGAGTGAGGGAGAGAGAGAGAGAGGAAGAGCGATGAAGATAGAAAGAAAGATGAGAGAGATAGGGGAGTGAGAGGGGTGGGGATAGGGAATGAGAGAGAAAAGAGGGGGACCTTTTACATTTTATCCATTAAAGTTGTATACATTTTATACATAGTTTTGTTTTTAAGTGTATAATTTATATTCCTTTGATCTTTGGAGAAGATAAAAATTATCTTCAAATGTCGATGTGTTTAATGTCTCAATGAGAAAACATGTATCTGTATCAACTTTGAGAGAATTTTTGTCACCATCAGATCCTCAAAGTACTAATAACTTCACTCAGTCGCATTATACACCAGATGGATTCAATACGTTTGTATCACAGAAATTACTTGATAATGATGTCAGTAACAAATTATCATTTATTAATATTGATTGTAGAAGCCTCCAACATAATTTTGATGCATCGTCTGTACTTGTGATGTATGTATGCAAGTTTCAATTATTGGTGTTTTGGAAACATGGCTAAGGGATAAAAATTCGCAATATTCTCTGTGCAATTTCGGTCATTATGAATTTGTGGGAAATACTAAAAGACTTGGACGTGGATGAGGTGTTTGGTATTTTTATTGGCAAGGACATTAATTTTAAACGCCGCACTGATTTGGATATTAAATAATCGTTTTTAGAAAGTATTTTTATTGAAATTGAACATTTAATTCAAATATTTTAATGTGTTATGTATAGGCCACCCAGTCAACCAGTGGATGATTTTTTAATGTCTCTCGTTTTTTTTTTTTTTATGTTTTAAATGTGGAAAAGAAATTATTCTATTTAATGGGAGATTTTAATATTGATTTATTAAATGTTGGGAATGATTTTGTAACCATTTTAATGCTACACTATATGATTCTTTTAATAAATGAACTAACTCGTGTTACTGACAGATCTTCATTGTTATTAGATAATAATTTTACAAATCATTCTTGCCATATTTATTTTGGAATATTATTAACTGACATTTCTGACCACTTCTCGGTTTTATTGTATTTGTGAAATTGATATTCACAAAAGTACTGTGAAACTGACTTTTTATAGACGTGATTTAAACAAAAATAACATGAGAATGTTTTTGCACTTGAGGTATTCAACTAAATGGTATTTATCTAGTGATGTGAATAGTAGTTATAATAGCTTTGTTTTGAAATTCACAAAAACTGTATAATTTGTGTTTTCCTGTGAGATAAGTTTGTTTGAAATATAAGCGTAAAAATAAACCTTGGATTACAAATAAAATTATTAATTTGAGTAAGAAAAAATGTAGACTATTGTATATTAAAGATCCCAATGATTATAGAAAAGAAGTATAAAAGATTTTTTTTAATGAATTGAATAATAAGATTAAGATTGAAAAAGGTATCATCATTGGTATACGATCTGATTTGATTTCGGAGTATGTAAATGATTGGAAATGAAACATGATAGATTTGATGAGTTTGAGATGTACATGAACAAGACAGTTATGTGAATAGTGAGTAATTAGTTAACATTATAAACCACAATGTGATAGTGTAGGTATTAATCACTTTTATTGATAGTTTTTTCCCCTTCTTTTTTTTCTTCTTTTCAATGTAGAACGAGTGTTGGATTGCTCTGTGTTGGAGTTGCTGGAAGGAGGTAGTGGTGTTTAAGTAAGTATTAGGGGATTTATGTTGAAAGTGTGCAGCATATGGTCATGGTAGTGACTTTTCAAAAAGGATTAATTATGTTATGCCATGTAGTGGCACTGATTTAATCTTACTTATGTTTTGAGCTGATTCTATAGGAAGGCACAGAATGAACAATTGTTCAAGCAAATACTATGATTATGATTGCACCTGCAGCAAATTTTCAAAATGAGATTACATGGTGAAATAATTAAGCTTAGAAATAGGTCAAATAAACCAGTTGGCATATAGGGTGAATAAGTTTCAAACCATGGGATTGTTTAAGGCCAAAATGTGGATATTAGTCATTCATTGGAAACCTCCATGTTGTGTTGAGATCATAGGTCACTTATGTAGGTCAAATGTTATGGCATACCTGCAAGACTAAAGAATACCAAAAAAAATACACATTGAAATACCTTATTTGTCAAACCTGTATTGTACATTCTGTGTATACCTCTGTCAGAATAGGGGAAAGTGGTTAGACTTTTGTGACAATTAATCTTGTAGCTTTGATATCCTATCCAAAAGGATTTGTACTAAACTGATTACTTGGTATTCTGCTATTAGTCATGGCTGGAATTCACAAAGGTGGTTTAGATTTAGACCACGGTTTATGCTTTTTATGGTTATATTACTTTTCACTGTTCAACATTTTTAATGTGCAATAGTACCTGTGTTTTCAAGATCTTCAAACTTGGTACAAAATTAAGGAAGAATAGTTTTTGGTGTTATATATCAAGGTTATGTTTACATAGAAATTTTCTGCTTGACAAGTCAAATAATTAAATTGAGGACTACGGTAATACTGTGGTTCACATGGGAAGAAGGAGGCATATACCAGTAGACTGCACACAGTCGAATTAAATGAAATATGTCTCAGCCATCATATTAAGCATCAATTGTAGACTCTTCCATTGGGTACGTGTTGCCAAAATTTGAATAGAATCCATCAAACATGTAGGGAGTTAGTCAAGATGAAGAAAAAAAGGGGGGGGGGGTGTTTTTAAAACACATAGTGCAAACATGCACATATATTTTGATTTTAGTCTAATACAATACATATTGTACATGTGACCTTGCCTAAGTCGAACTTGGATAAGTCAAACCGCCCGTATAAAGTTAACGGTTAAACGTTTAGCCCCAAAAACGTAATGATTCAGGCCTACGGCGAGCGGGCGGGCATAGTACGTCACTAAAATGTCATGATAGAGTCTTCTTTTTAGCACAGTGTAAAAAAAAGTCAAGAACTTTGTATTTTGAAAAATGGAAAATGCCAGTTTTGCGTGTAACTATTTAAAAAAAAAAATTCTTTCTACTTACAGGTGTCTGGCTGTGCTGATTGTATGTTTATTTTGTGTCCTGGAAGTTTGTTTTTCAGGAAAATACTTGTTTTTTGTTTACATCTTTTCATTGTATTCATTTGAACTGAAACTTCATCTTGCATCTTTCTTTATCTCAGAAGAGATTCTGCTCTCAGAAAAGAGTGTACCGCACGCCAGAAGGTGTGTGTCTTTAACCATTTCATCCCATTTCATACAAATTCAATGCCACTGAGATGGTCGTGGATAAACAAATGAAAAGCCACTGAGAAACTCGTGGATAAACAAGAAAAAAAAAAAAAAAAAAACTCAGATCTGAAAAATTTTCATCTTGAGCTTCTTCTTTACCTCTGTCTTATTTACTGACTTTCTATTGTTATTTTCCTGGTTAATTGTTTGAATATGAGGGCATAGCAGAAGATTGATTGAAAGTGACTTTGATTGAGAGAAGAAGTACAGAGTGAGCTTGATTGAATGCAAAGAAAGTGAGCTATATCATTGAAAAGAGAAACAAGTTTAATAATTCTATGAATAGATGTGATTGTGAGTGATTGTTGGAAAGAGAATAAGGAAATTTGTGACAGGATATAGAGAGTTCTAGAAATATAAGTGAGCTTGATTGATTGCAAAGAGTACATGTAAGAAGAACATTTGTGTCAGGATATATAGAGTTGTAGAAAAGTGAGCGTGATTGATTGCAAAGAGAGGAAGAAAGAAATCTGTGTCTGGATATAAAGTATACAGATTTATAAAAATATAAGTGAGCTTGATTGCAGAGAGAGTAAGAAAGAAATCTGTGTCTGGATATAAAGTGTACAGATTTATAAAAATATAAGTGAGCTTGATTGCAGAGAGAGTAAGAAAGAAATCTGTGTCTGGATATAAAGTGTACAGATTTATAAAAATATAAGTGAGCTTGATTGCAGAGAGAATAAGAAAGAAATCTGTGTCTGGATATAAAGTGTACAGATTTATAAAAATATAAGTGAGCTTGATTGCAGAGAGAGTAAGAAAGAAATCTGTGTCTGGATATAAAGTGTACAGATTTATAAAAATATAAGTGAGCTTGATTGCAGAGAGAGTAAGAAAGAAATCTGTGTCTGGATATAAAGTGTACAGATTTATAAAAATATAAGTCAGCTTGATTGCAGAGAGAATAAGAAAGAAATTTGTGTCCGAGTATAAAGTGTACAGATTTATACAAATATAAGTGAGCTTTATTGCAGAAAGAGAAAGAAAGAAATCTGCGTCTGGATATAAAGTGTACAGATTTATAAAAATATAAGTGAGCTTGATTGCAGAGAGAGAAAGAAAGAAATTTGTGTCTGGATATTGAGTGTACAGAGGTATACAAATGTAAGCGAGCTTTATTGCACTGATTGGTATCTGCTGAATATATTAACAAACCTCTTTGAACACTGTCTCACAATATCGTAGTTTGTATTGAAAAAGTAGCACAGTCTTGAGATATCCAAGATAGCTAACAATTTCACATTTTAACAATTATAAACAAAGGCCATATGTTGAAAGACGAAATGAAGGTCGGTGATAGAAATGCAGAACCCCATGTTGAAGAGACTTTAGAGTGTTATATATGTGGAAAAGATCTTGATGGCAAGGAGAATGAAGTGAAGTGTGAAAGTTGTCCCAACTCTTACCATGTGGCATGTATGAATATCTCTCGTGAAGATAAATTTAGTGACATTACACTTGTATGGATTTGCCTATGCGGAAATAACAATATTTCTGTACGTATGTTTGACCATCTAGGTATCCCTATTGATGTCAACCAATATGAATGCATCAGTCCGAATCAGGAGGTCATGGAAGAGCCTGACGGCACACCTGATGAATGCTCTACATCGAGAAAGATTGAAAGAGGCCGCTTTACAAAGATGAAAAGGTATGTGAACAAAGGACATAAGCGATCTAGATCCCCCAAAGAAACAAATGCAAAAAAGGGGAGAAATGAAAGGTACGTTGATGACTGTAGGAATGCGTCTACATGTGACCAGTCAGAAAATGTAAAAAATACAGTTGGCAAGGAAAAGGAATCTGGTTTAAGATGGGACTTGATAAGATCGCGAAAGGCAAAACTCTTGGAGAAAAGAAAAGGAATGATTTCTGTAGATAACAAATACAGACATAAGGATGAGTGTTCACATGTGAACAAAAGAGAAAAGGGAGTGACATACATAGGAAAAGCAATGAAGCATCTGTACCGCAAATCAAACTCAAAAATCAAAGTTCCAAGTACTGAAAACCAATCAAAAATGACACAAGACAACGAAAAATCAAAAACAAGTGTATCAAGCACAAAGAAACAAATAGAGGTGCCGGAGATCAGTGAAAATGATTTGAAGGTAACACGTACAGGAACGGTTTCTCATGAAGAGACAAAAGTGTGTGAAGATGGTAATGACGAACATTGTTTGAAGTCGAATGAGATGGCTATGTTGTACAGTAAACAGAAATCTCCTAGTGAATGGTCTTCTTCAGATCTTGATGCTCTTGTAACATGTTCAATTGATATGTTTTCTACTAGCCCTGATGACGTATCTGCGAGTATTTGTAAGAAAGGTGATGGCACATCTCTTGGCGAACCAAAGACAGGACCTCTTACCAAGTACGCACATCCAGACTCACTGATCAACACCCTTGAAGAATCACTCAAGAATTGTGATGGTTGTCTTATGAACTTTGGTAAGCAGACTTTTCTCATAATGTCACATGAAACAGGTTACTACATCTTTGATGCACATTCCAGAAGTAGAAAAGGGTGTCAAAGTAAGCAAGGAAAAAGCATTCTCATGCATACTAAAACTTGGCTCGGAATATACACTTATTGCATACAATTGTTGAACTCTATGAAGCTCTCGTGTGAGGAGACATACAAGCTGACACAGGTGACAGTTGCACACAGATCAAGTACTGATGCATTGAAACACACAATCCCAACAGATACAATTTCACAGGATAAGGTAGATGAAAGTCTGATGGTAATCCAAACTGAAGATCGTTCCGTATCTAAACCTGAATCAAGCCAAGATAAAGTACATGTAACACTCAATTGGAAAGTGCAAGCAAAACCTACCAAACCCCCTGATGAAATAGATGTTGATCTCAAATCATACAGGAAAGTGCAAGCAAAACCTACCAAACCCACTGATGAAATAGCTGTTGATCTCAAATCCTACAGGAAAGTGCAAGCAGAACCTACCAAATCCACTGATGAAATAGATGTTGATCTCAAATCATACAGGAAAGTGCAAGCAAAACCTACCAAACCCACTGATGAAATAGATGTTGATCTCAAATCCTACAGAGTTCATGCTGGTGGCAAAAACCAAAAAAAGGGTAAAGCAAGGAACAAGAAAGGTCAGTTCACCAAAGCAAAAAAAGTTCATGATGGAAATAACTCTTCTGATAAATCAGAGATTAGATTTGACAAAGATGAAGGAATAGAATTAGCAGTAAATAATGAGAAGCTGGATACAAAGAAATTTATGAATGCAGGTGAAAATGATGAAAACTCAGACCAGCATATTTACAATATCAAAGACGATAAAGGTTCAGATGGAGTTGTGCAGGCTGATTCAAAGAATAATCTGTTGAAACTGAATTTTGATGAAAATAGGAAAATTGAAATAGATAATGATAGTGGCAGTGATATTCATATACCAGTGAAACGTTCGTGTGCAAGAACTTGTATAGAATCTGATACAGACACAAGTCCTGGATATGATATATTCGATAAAAGCGTTTCACCAGAACGCAATATGTCTTTGAATGTTTCTGATCAACCAAAAGATATGCCCAGAAATGAACAAGTAGACAATGTCTGTGAATCAGTATTGAAAAATGATGATATGATGACAATTGATTTGACAGATGTTTCAGATGGTCTAGAGGAAGATGCAATGTTTGATAATGAATTAAAGAATAAAAGCTTTGATACAGGTAAACATGATACAGACAATGATACTGATATGTCACTAAATGATCATGCTCATTCAAGAAATCCTTTAGAATCTTCTTTAGATTCAAACATCAAAGATGAAGACATTGAAAAGGCAATAGATGCTAATATGTACACATGTACTGATGAAACAGAAACAGAAGTTGAATTTGTAGCAAATCTTGGATTAGGTGATAGACCGGATAAATATTTCAAATTCTTACCCCTCTCGAAGAATGACAAACAGAACATTTGTACAAAATTGAATATCAGATATATAGGTACAAGCTGTGATTCAAGGTTAGATAGAGATAGCTTTATCGGAATTCCTTTACATAGTAAACAAATTATTGGTGACGGCAATTGTTTCTTTCGTGCAATTTCATATGCAATTTCTGGAACTGAGCATAATCATGCAATTCTAAGAAATGCCACGGTAAAACATTTATTGCAAACTAAGGACATGTTTAATAATACATTGAGGCAAGAGTATAGAACAGTCAGAGAATATGTTTCGAAACGTAGAATAATGGAAGACGGAACGTGGGCTACAGATACTGAAATTAGTGCTTTAGCAAATTTAATCGATACCGATATTTATTCATACAATGACCAAGTACCATGTTGGCAATTGTTCTCTGCAAAAGAACCTGGAAGAATAAATATTGTAACCTCTGATAAGGGAATTTATATACTATACACAGGAAATATTCATTTTAATGCTGTTGAATCTGTTGAAATTGATGAAGTGGTGGATAAGTCTCCGATAAATCACGATGAGAGGAAAGGTACTGCAAATCTTTTTGACATGACATATGAACAGTGTGCAAGTAATCAGTCTGAATCAGTCGTTCACAACAAACGTAACACCAAGGATGAAACCCCTGAAAGTAATCACAAAGACAAATGCGCAAGAGTCAATACACACATAACGCTTGTTGCCCAAGGGACATTCAATCAAGGTCATACAAGATTTGGTTACTCAAGTGGAAAGCAGTGTGTTCCCAATTCACTATCTGCACTGTTGTATAGCAAAGTAAAAAATGCCAATGATTGGAAAAGTACAGATCTAGACAGGATTTTGAACAACGGTGATGAATTATATCGTTACATACGACGATCCACTTCACTCGAAAACGAATACTTATTGATATCTGATCTATTTGAATATTTGGATGCGTACAATGAATTGTTTAACATAAAATGTCGTGAACCAGTCACTGGATTGTTAGATGGAGATGAAATGATATTGGCCCAGTCTCTTTCGATGACATTGAAGCAAGCAATCGAACAAGAACTCTGTACTGATTCTGATGCATGTTTTGTGACATTTGCTGGAAGTACTTTGATTGTATTATCTGGTCAAGATGGTTTCTTTGTATTTGATTCACATTCCAGAAGCAGTCGAGGTTTTCAGATTGATAACGGACACAGTGTTGTACTTAGTACTCCAAGTTGGCAAGGTGTGTACAAGCATTGCATGAGGTTAGCAAAAACAAGGGGATGTCCCATGCACACTGAATATGAGGTAACTAGTGTATGTGCAAAAGCAACTTCCGGTAAGAATGAAACCTTGAAAGGCTATCCACAGTTACAGGATGTTTTTTGTAGTCAGATTCCATCGTCAAATAGTCACAGTGAAAGTCAGTTTGAAAGCTCTGGATGTTCCATACATTGTGAAAGCTTTGATGAAGTTCAATTGGAACTTGAATTGGATGAGAGTGTTTTCCCACAAAAAATGATTGATAGCCCAAATCTATTTCTCTTTCCTGAAAAAGCAAATGAAACAATCATTCATGATTTACATTATAACGGTCAGCAATTAAAACTGAAGAGTGTGACAATTGGCTTAACCAAATTAAAAGAATCACAGCTAAATAATAGTTGTCTTTTGAAAGGAAATGACTCTATAAAAACAGAATATGAAAATAAACAAAAGGGAGACTCCAACAACTGTACTAAATGTGGAAATGACTCTGATAAATTGAATTTAGTGAACGAAGTTCAGAATTCCAACTTTATCTTAAGCAGGAAACGAAAATGGAGTAACTTCGAAAGCGATGCGAAAGTTAATGTTGACCTTGGCAAGGACATTCGAAAAACCAAATTGGTGAAAATGAATGAGAACGACAGCTTAAGAATTGACGCAAGCGATTGTGCTGATAGTAAAGACGACTTAATAATAATTGGAGAAGTTCATGTTAGAAATGTAGACCATGGAAAAAAAAAGAGTAAAACCAGACAAAGTTCTAATCAAAAAAGGAAGCGCAATAGACAGCATATGAGAGAAAAACGAGCCTTGACCAAAGATGAAATCATTAAGAAAAAGGAAAAATGTCTCCACAATGCGCAAATGAGGAAAATTAAATCAAAGAATAAATTTCAAAATGATTTAACCTACAAAATGGAAAAAATAAATGAAGTAAAACAAAGACAAAAAGAGAATTACAACGCTGATTTATCACACAAAATAAAGCAAGGAGCTTATGTCAAACAAAGGCAAAAAGAAATGTATAAAGAGGATTCAAATTTCAGGAACAAACAGCTAAATATTATGAGAACCAAATATCATTCTGATTTACATTATAAAAAGAAAATTGTGTATAGAAATAAACAGAAATATTTGATAAATGAAGGATTCAAAGAAAATGTTAAAACAGCTATGAGGACAAAAATGAAAAATAAATATTCGAACGATGAACATTTCAAGGAAAAACAACGAGATACCATGAAAAAACGAATGAAGCAATCATATCGCAATGATCAACAATTCAAACGAATTCACAAAAGCAAAATAAGAAGTAAATACCAGCACGATGAACAATTCAAACGAATTCACAAAAGCAAAATAAGAAGTAAATACCAGCACGATGAACAATTCAAACGAATTCACAAAAGCAAAATAAGAAGTAAATACCAGCACGATGAACAATTCAAACGAATTCACAGAAGCAAAATAAGAAGTAAATACCAGCACGATGAACAATTCAAACGAATTCACAAAAGCAAAATAAGAAGTAAATACCAGCACGATGAACAATTCAAACGAATTCACAGAAGCAAAATAAGAAGTAAATATTCGAACGATCAACAATTCAAGGAAAAACAACGAGATACCATGAAAAAACGAATGAAGGAATTATATCAGAACGATGAACAATTCAAAGGAATGCACAAGAATAGAATTAGAAGTAAATATCGGAACAATGAAAATTTTAAGCAGATAAAAAAGGCAAATATGAAAATATTGTCCATAATTAGATATAAAGGCAAAGAATTTAAGGAAAAGAAATTGATGAGCTTAAAAATGAAATATAAAAGAATTGAAAAATATAGGCAAAATGTAATAAAACAAAACCGAAAAAGGTCTGTACTTCGAACAGTAAAATTGTCCGAGTTTGATATTGTACATGAAGAATTTAGAAAGATAATTTCTCATGGCCCAGAATATGTGTGCTGTGTATGTTTAAAACTTCTCTTTGAGAACCAAGTAATGAAATGTAAAAAGAGTAATTATAAAATTCAGACATGCATAAGTGAAGAATATTTGCATGTTTGCAATTCAGAATGCCGGTCAAAATGTTTAATAGGCCAGTCAGCCAGATCGTCACTATGGATATGCTTCACCTGTCATAGAAAATTGCAAGCTGGGAAAGTACCTGCAGAAGCAAATATGAACAATTTACAACTACATGAAGTTCCAGAAGAACTTGCCAATCTGAACAATTTAGAACAGCATTTGATTGCATTGAATATCCCTTTCATGAAGTTGATGGCCTTGCCTAAAGGTGGTCAAAATGGAGTCCATGGCCCAGTCGTGTGCGTGCCTTCAAACACCTATGAAACAGTACATATGTTGCCAAGACCACAGACTGAAGATCAATTGATCCGTGTTAAACTCAAAAGAAAATTGTCGTACAAAAGCTATTATGAGTACAAATTTGTAGATAAATCTAACTTGCTTAAGGCTCTGCAGTATTTAAAAGCAAGTAACAAGTGGTATTTTGATGTTACAGTAAATGATAAATGGGAAAACTCACTTGAACGAAATGAAAAAAATAATGAAAAGGAAGAAGCAGTGGAAATAGGTGGTAAAGCTCGTTTAGCAAAATATTGGAAGGAAATGGAAGAACAAATTGATTATATTTTGTCCAAAGACAAAAATGCTAATGAAAACATGCAAGACAACAGTAAAGTACAAACAAAAATAGATGACAATGACACTGAAGACGATATGGAAGAACGATTATGCGGTATTCAGTTAGACTCGTGTCTCCAGCCAGTAGATATTGGACAGGAAATATTAGATCAGTATTTTGAAGACATAATATGTTGTGCTCCTTGTGAAGGAAGAAGCCCTGTATCAATTCTACAAGATGAAAGCAATGAGGCCAAATGTTTCCCAGTATTATTTCCTAAAGGTCAACCAACATTCCATGATAGAAGAGATGAAAAAATAACATTAGGACGTTATCTGCATAACCGACTGATGCACGTGGACAATAGATTTGCTCAGAATACGGATTACATCTTTTATGCACAATATATTTATGAAATTCAACAGGTTATATCGCAAGTTTCTATCGCATTAAGGCAAAGTCCAAACAAAAAAGATGATTCGTCTTCAATAACTGCCTCAGATTTGAAAGATGCAGAGAAAGTTAAAAAAATACTAAAATCAGACAAGGGCTATAAATTTTTAAAGCAAATTCGTGGAACACCTCCGTTCTGGCAAAAGACACAAAAAGATGTACTTGCAATGGTACGACAGCTTGGAAAGCCGACATGGTTTGCTTCTTTCTCATCTGCCGATATGAGATGGCCAGAATTAATGAATACATTGCTTAGACAAAAAGGAGACACCAGGGAATCGAGTGAATTAGACTATAAAGAAAAATGTAATCTTTTAAGATCGAATCCAGTAACAGTTGCCAGAATGTTTGATAAAAGATTTCACACTTTTATGAAGACAGTAATTTTATCTCCAGCTGCACCGATCGGTAAAATAGTTGATTCATTTTGGAGAGTAGAGTATCAAGCTCGAGGTTCCCCTCACATTCATGCCTTGTTCTGGGTTCAAAATGCTCCACAGTTGGGTATCGATAAAGATGATGATGTCGTACAATTCGTAGATAAATACATTTCTTGCCAGAAGCCGGATGAAAAGGAAGATCGAGAACTACATGAAATAGTAAGCAAGGTCCAACAACACAGTAAGAAACATTCTAAATCTTGCACAAAAACAGGAAAAGCATGTAGATTTAATTTCCCAAGACCACCATCTGAAAAAACATTCATTGTAACACCTGTTGAAGAGATTCCAGCTAAAGATTGTGGGAAAGTGCAAAATAAGGGAAAAGACAATGATCAAATTAAAGCTTCTAAAAAGATTAAAGATGATGCAGAGAAATTGTTGAAGTCAGTTAAAGATGCATTATCCAATGGAATGGAGTACAACAATGTAAACCATCTCTTTGAAGAGCTTGACATTACACAAAATCAATTTGAAAATGCACATAATGAATTAGCATCACAACAAAGTATAATCATCAAGAGACAGATACAAGATGTATGGGTAAATCAGTTTAATCCAAGTCTCCTTAGAAGCTGGAACGCCAACATGGATTTGCAGTATGTAACAAATGTATTTGCATGTGTAGCTTATATTGTATCCTACATGTCAAAAGCTGAACGAGAAATCGGAATGCTATTGAGTCATACACTATCTGAAATGAAGGATGGAAATGAAAACGCAAAGGAAAGCATGAAAAAACTTGGCCAGGTGTACATGCAAAATCGTGAAGTATCTGCTCAAGAAAGCGTCTATCGTGTTTGCAGTCTCAGATTGAAAGAATGTTCTAGGAAAGTGGAATTCATTCCTGTTGGACCCAACCCTGTCAGAATGAGTTTACCATTAAGCGTTATAAAAAGCAGACCAGATAACGATAATGATGATGATGAGAATGTTTGGATGACTAGCAAGCTCGACAGATACAAAGCTCGACCTAGAAATGCAGAATTCAGTAATATGTGTCTTGCAACGTTTTTTTCTCAGTTTAGAATCTTAACTGCATCCCAAAAGCCAAGTGCAAGAAGTAAAAATGTCTTTAAATTAGATAATGATCTGGGATATATTCAGAAGCGCACACGTACAGCAGATGCAGTTGTAAGATATCCCCGATTTTCACCCATCATCTGTCCTGAAAAATATTATTTGAGCATTTTGCAACTCTTTCTGCCATATTTTGAAGATGAACAATTAAAGCCGCCAACCTTTGAAACACATCAAGAGTTCTATGAGACAGGTTCTGTGAAAATACGTGGATGTGAATTAGAGGAAGTCTGGTCAATTGTGTGTACTAACCGAAACAAGTTTGAAATGAATGCTGATGCAATTGATCATGCACAGGAGCATCTTAACAAATTTGGTCCACACGAAGATGCATGGGGTCTTTTATGTCCGGAAAAGGAAGTAGAACGACTTGAACATCCCAAAGAAAATGTAGATGTCGAAGATTGTGATGGAGATCTTGATATCCCGGATTTAAAGCATGAAAAGAAAAAAGATGACTATAGCATCGAATTTCGATCTGTAAAGATTTCCAAACAGGATGGACATTCTTTGATGAGGTCTTTGAATGAGAAGCAACAGACTGTTTTTTACAAAATACGACAGTGGTGTTTAGATAGAGTAAATGGAAAATCGGTCGAACCGTTTCATATTTTTCTAACTGGTGGTGCTGGCACTGGAAAGAGTCATTTGATTAAATGTCTCAACTATGAAGCAACACGTATACTAGCCCGAATGTTGCCACATCCCGATGATGTCTCAGTATTGAAAATGGCTCCAACTGGAGTAGCTGCATACAATATCAATGGCCATACTATACATAGTATTCTTTCTATTCCAATCAATGCACAAAAACTGTATCAACCGCTGAGTGATGAGAAAATAAATGTCCTTCGAAATAAGCTGGCTCAAGTACAAATTTTGATCATAGATGAAGTATCAATGGTAGATCAAAAGTTGATGTCTTACATTCACGGTCGCCTACGACAAATAAAACAATCACGCGATCAAACAGCTTTTGCTGGTGTTTCAGTTATTGCTGTGGGAGACATGTATCAGTTACCTCCAGTCTTTGGAATTCCTTTATATAAAGACACACTCAATGGTGTATTATGGAATGATAATTTCAAGAAAGTAGAACTTGAAGACATTATGAGACAAAAAGACGATACCCAATTCGCTTTTCTCTTAAATAGATTACGTGTAAAAGAAGGGGATGAGATTCTCTGTGATGAAGACCTAGCAATGCTCAAGTCTTGTGAAACTGGTGAAGAATGTGAAAATGCTCTGCATATCTATTCATGTAACAATCAAGTAGATGCTTGGAACAAGAAATTATTGCATAAAAGATGTGCCGATGTGATATGCGTAAAAGCACAAGACATGGATAAAGATGGTAAAAAAGGAAACAAAATACGAGAAAAACCTTATACAGGTATGCAAACCCAGCTGCCTCCTTATCTGTGGATTGCAGTTAATGCTAGAGTGATGTTGCTCAAGAACATTGATGTTAGTAAAGGCCTGACAAATGGATGTTTTGGAAATGTAACAGAAATATTAACGGATCATACAAATTTAAATCCAGTATGCATCAAAGTTAATTTTGAGATGGCCGATGTTGGTATTCATTCAATCGAAATGTCCCAAGAATCCATTGGTAAGAAATATGTGAGAAAACAATTTCCACTTAAGCTTGCTTATGCTTGCACAATACATAAAGTACAAGGTTCGACATTAGAAAAAGCTGTTGTATCATTAAAAAATGTGTTTGAATCTGGACAGGCATATGTTGGGCTCAGTCGTGTTACTTCGTTATCTGGACTTGTGATAGAACATTTCGATCCTAAACGTATATATTGTAATCCAGAAATTAAAGAACGCATTGAGATTATGAAGCCGTTTATCGAGAAAAGCACTTCTGAGGATATTCATGATTATAACTTTTCTTTGATAATGCAAAATGTACAAGGATTAAAACAGCATTTTATCGATTTCAAATCCCAGTGCCAATTTGTGAATGTAGATTGTATTTGCTTGACCGAAACATGGATTAATGATGATGATCTCTGTGACGTTGTTTTAGATAACTTTCGATTTTATCATCAGCCACGACATCTTTCATACTGTAATTCTGGAGTTGGAAATGTACTCAAAGAACAATCGCATGGAGGTGTTGCAATGTATATCAAGAATACATATTCAAGTAGATTAGACATATCTGTCGACAACTTAGAGTTTATTGCAATTCTTGTCACCAAACCAGTTTCTGTTGTGATTTCAGTTGTTTATCGACCTCCATCATATAGTATCAAATCATTCTGTGAATCATTAGACAATTTGCTAGATGCATTACACAAAATAAGCATTAGATGTATTGTGATGGGAGATTTTAACGAGGATTTGCTTAAAGGTTCTTCACAGGTAAGCAAGCTAATGTGTAATAAAGGTTACAAACAGCATGTTCTTAATGCTACTACTGAGAAGGGAACATTGATAGATCATGTGTACAGCAAGGGACTAGATTTATTGGAAACAGAGGTCATCCCTACATATTATAGTTACCATGAAGCTGTTAAGATTGCATTTTAATATTTGTAGTAAAACGAGAGGAATAAAAGAGTAATTCATAATATTTTTGTTGATAAATAACATTTTCATTTACCATGTCTTCATTCTTGCAAAAATGAAAATGAATATTACCTCTTCTTAAAATTCATGAGAGTTGTGCATATTTTTTTAGGCTTACCTTACACTAATATCAATGATACCATCTGCCATGGACATCACCTTGAAAGCATGTTGTAAACTTGGTAAAATCTGTTTTAAGGTGGTGTGTGTTGAAAGATTTATGTGTTGTCACTCCTTGCCTTTCAAACCTTAGTGTTTTTAAACATCACTCACATCATGAAATGTATATGTATTTTTAACTTTTAGATGCAATTTTACAAATCTAAAACAATGGTACACATTTATAATAGATGGATAACAAGATCATACATCCATGCTTTTCTTTTTCAGTTTAATGATTGTCGACCTGATCAGTATATCAAAGTTGGATCATTCCATGAACCTTGCTAAGTGCTCATGTTTCAACTGGGTTGGAGTAGGAGACAGCATACATGGCAGCCATCTCTCTGAAGAAGACACTCAAATCAGAGATCAAGCTTGAATGTGACAATGAGACATGCAAGTATTAAAGTAAAGAAGAGGATGGTTTATGATAATGAATGAATATTATCATCGGGATGTAATGCTGGAATGTTATTCTCTGAAAGATGATTTGTTTGGTAGTGATCTATGTTTTAGTAATAGGTTATTCACTATGATGTAAGTTGTTCTGATTTAATGAAAATTGGAGGGTTATAATGTCTCATTGATAACAATGAGTATGATAGTGATGATTAGGATTAAATGAATGTTATACTATCAATGATGTTCACATGATACTTAACCCTTTCTGTACTGACTTGGGGGGGGGGGAGGCGTTGATATTTGAAAATGCAAAGGTAAATTTGCATAACTTATCAATACGCAAATTTCATTTTTTTTTTTTTTTTTAATATGTATTATATTGTTTTTATTTTTTATATCTCGAGGGCTTAAGGCCAGAACTGTCTATGTCCATTTTGGGTGAAATTGAGTTAAGTCCACCAAATTACTGTATATTCATGTAGGTTTGTGTGCCAGAACTGTCTATGTCCCATGTGTGTCCATTAGCCATTTTACTTTTCATGCCAGAAATGTCCAGACTGTTACAAGTACTGTCACGCATTCATTGCAGTATTAAGAATTGCACAATACTTGCAGTTTTCTACTATTAAAGCAGATGGGATACCCCATGCAGCTTTCACTGATTGTGGCCAAGCAACATCATTTCATTGCCCAGAAAAGCTGTTATGATAAATAAAAAAGACCAATGTGCAAAATGTACGAAGTGTGACCAGTTGTCAGGAGAGCAGAAGGAGAATTTCAAGGAAGAGTATGAAGCCCATCTCATGCGAAAAAACAGAGGCTCAAGATGCCAAAGCAAGGGACAAGGCCAAGGCAGTTGCTGAAAATGGGACTTTTGTCTTGGCTTCTTCTGATTGGCAAAGTGTGCTACAGATCCCAAGCAGTGAACATTCTTGAATATATTACAGCCGCAAGCTTTGTGTCTACCATCTATGTATATACAATCAGGCCCCACCAAATGAAGCAAGCAGCTATACTGTTGGTCCAAAGCAGAAGGGAAGTATGGCAGTAATGATATGGGCACATGCCACTTCAAATGGTTGAATGATTTATCTGAAATGGTAGATGAAGTATCACTATTTTCTAACACATTAGGGGACAAAATCGAAACCAAAATATGGCTGCAATGTTCCTCTATGCCGTCCAGAACACACATCTCAAAGTCATCACGCACAATTTTCTGGAGAGCGGGCATTCCCACATGGAATGCGATGGCATGCATTCTGCAATTGAAAAAGAACGTCAATGTCTTTACAATGCACCACTGGGTAATATCTTCCACAAAGCAAGACGTTGGCCTCCATACAAGGTCATAAACATGTGTCATGGAGACTTTCATGATCTGCAGAATCTCTCAAAGCAGACCATGAAGAACAAACGGCGAGACGAAGATGGACATGTCTTCAACTGGCTACATGTAGAGAGCTTCTAATACAGGAAGGAAGAGCCAGGCATCATCTGCTACAAGTATAAGTACTCAGTTGACTACAAGAAGATATGCGTGTATGGGCGTGGGACACCATCAGTTCCACGTAATCTGGACCTTGCCTACCAAGAGAAGCTTCAAATCAGAACCTTAAAAAGAAGGATCTCATCGAGCTGTGCAATGGCCTAGCCATTCCTGAAGAGTTCCGTGGATGGTATTTGGCACTCCCATCTTCAAGACGAGTTGATGACAATGATGTTGCATAATTATTGATTACATTCAAGGAAAGACATAAAAAATGACAAGATCGTCATTTAAATAACAATTAACATGCTCTGGAAGTACTTTGTTATTAATCCACCACGTTATGCTCCTAAAATTCTGTCAAATCTTCAATGTTATGTTTAAATAATTATCTTGTAAATAAAGGACATATAGTGTGGGGTATAAAGGAACATTTAAGCCATGAAAAGGATCATGACTCACATGCCATGACCTCCATGTATAATGTGTGACCAAGTATTATTTATAAGTTGATCACATTGAACATAACTACTTCACCTTTTTCAGATTTTATGCATGCAATCAAACTTTCAAATGTATTTGACTCAAATTTGCTTTTTTGGACATAGACAGTTCTGGTTTTAAGCCCTCGATCAAATTTTTTATTTCTAATGTATTCTTTTGTTCTGGAATATATCGAGTTGCTTTTGGAAACATATCAAAGCAATTTGATATCAATTCATATCTCTCACTTATACATCTATTTCAGTATTCACATTTCTGCCTGTACATGTACATAAATTATATGAATATATGCAATTATAGCACTTTTTGATGATATGAGCATACTAATTGATATGTAACACCTTACAGGTATATCCGATTTCGATGAAAATGATATCCAAACATGTGACTTGTGTGTAAGATAGTGACTTGAGGGGAAAAGTCATGAAACAACAATTTAAAATTCTGCTGATCAGAACAAGTTTGTGCTGAAATGGATGGGTCCATTCCCTGAGGTTGGTGTGAAGTATAACTATGACTACATTGTAGATGTTAATTGTGTTCCTAAGACATATCACATTAATCTTAAGAAATACTTTCTGAGGGAGGAGGTTAACTGGTCAGTGGCTGGCTGCTTTGATTTGTGTACAGAGAGTAGGAAAGTGTGTGGGGATTCTGCAGAAGATGTCGAGAATCAGTTGCTTGTATTGAAGGTAGATGCATCTGACAGGGGTGTGGGTGCTGGGCTTATGCAATAGCATTCAGAAATGGAATGTCCAATTGCTTATGCTAGTAAGAAGTTATTACCATGGGAAGATAATTATACAACAATAGCAGAATGCAAAATACACTACACATGGATTTTTTTTTTGTCTGTCTACCATTGTCAATTATTGGATTTGTATCATGGATTTGATATGGAGAAGAAGATATTACAGCAGTATATATATATGCATTGTAGTTTATGCAAATGCAAGAACATTACTCACTACAATTTTGAACCTTGCCAATGTTTATTCTGAACCATGTCTACGTATGATACTCGTTCTGAACTTTAATGTGGAGCTATGCCATTGTGGACATTGAAACAGATTTAAATGTGAGTTTTGCCATAATTAGATTTGGACTTCTGTCGACGGTCATCTTTAAAGTGTTCAGTGATCTCAAATGTTGGAATAAAAAAACAAACCATGATATTGTCGACCGAGATGATGAACTTTCCATGAAAAACAATACTCCTTGTTACCACAGAGACTATGTTTTCAACTTTTCAGCATACATGTTTACTTTCAACTTGGACTGATAAATTGGATCACAGAAAGAGACTGATAATTACACAGCCACCTTATGAATCTAAATATATCAGAGAGGACTTATTGATGCTTAACACAATGGATTGTGCTCTTTAATGCTCGATAATTGTTTAATTTTGAGTCAAAGAAATTGTCTTCAGGTGATGATGTGAACATTTGATAATCTCTACTTTGTTTTAACAGGTTTTTCACAAATTCTAATATGAACTGTAGCATGAACATTTACGTATACTCATGTTCTAGCTTTTCAACTTTGTGCAGAATATGTCATACATATGACATATTCAGCACAAAGTTGAAGTTTTATATTTATACATGGGTTTGTTTAATGCTTATTATCCCATAGCATGATATTGTTGTGCTATGTTGGGATTGTTTTTATTGAAAGGTTTTATTCAAAGGTGTTTGTACACTTATAACCAAGCTCAAGCTTTACCATGATATTAAAGTTCTGAGCTTCATGTGCTGTATAATATCATAACAAATATAACAAATCATATTATTGAAAACATGTTATAGTAATTGCATTTAGAATTGCATTTGCAGATTTCAACTCATGAACAAAGGAAATGAAATGCATCTAAGCCTCATGAATTAGGTGATAAAAGTAAGAATGTCATATTATTTATTGTAGATTCTAAAATTAGTTGATTAAACCATAGGTTTAGAACTGAGATTCCTGGATATACAAGTACATTTACATTGACTAGGATTGGAATTTAGTCATATGAGCTATGTTGTGTCATGACCTTCTGATATCATGTAATGATGGATGGGATGAAGAATGTTATGTTTGAAGTTTTGCCTTGAGAAAGCTTTAATGATAATTAATGTGCAGTAAATATTTAAAACAGTTTGCACTAAACATTTTCATGAGATATGTATGACCCAGCGTTTTTTGTATGTTGAACTGTTTTAAAAGTATGTATCTAGGAATTTGAGAACAAAGTTCGGTACCTAGGAACTATTTTTGAGAAGATAATTTTTCATTTTTATGGTAAAAGTTTTCACGACTTAAGAGGAATAGTTTTTATCAACATCCATTTATGACACACAACGTCATGTTTATGTAAACAAATGGGAAGATGTCATGATTGCTTTATGATTATGTGATTCCTAGAAAAGGCACTTTGTCATGAAATTGACCAAAGATAAGCTTAAATGGATAATTTTAATGGTTATTAATATACAGCTATTACTAGGTCAAGGTCAAGAAAGATTTTATTTGTACAGGTGACAATTGCCATGAATGTAATTTACATAGACAGATGGTAATAACATTTTTTTTGGTCGGGTTGACTTTGTAAGTTTATTTCAGTCAGGTATGTGGAATGTGATTTATTGTAATTGCCTATAATACTCTCGATTTGTGAAGAAAATTCATTTGAGTAATTTGTTCTTAAAAATTGGGAGGCTAATTGTCATATGAGAAATTGAGAATTATTTCATTACTATGTTACCCTGACGGAAGTGAGATTTTCTTTTCGAATTCGAAATGCATATACACCATAACAAAGGTGA